TCCTCCAGCACAGGCGCGCACGCCCAACATGTACACGCAAAGTCCTACGATGTCGCCCGCTACGACTATACAGGGTACACCCCAAATCCATCCGATGGGCACGCCACAGCTAGGGCGCCACCCGCAAGGCGGGATGCAGGCGCCTGGGTACCCGCCACAACACATGATGCAGGGCCAATCACCAGCTCCGCGCGCCCCAAGTACGGGTCCGGGCCAGAGCCCGCGATTGCCGTCCAACTACCCGCCCGAGCGTGCCATGGCCGAGCTGAACGCCATCTCTGCCGAACAGCTCCGAGCGGCTCGCGTGGACGCGGGTCTGGCGAATAAGGAACTCATGGGGATGACCAACGACGAGCTGGTGCGTGTGTTTTCCTGTTTGTGCCCTGTTCAATCTCCTCCCGATCGCAAATGTCCTTCTGGTTGCGATTGTGGGTGGGCGTGTATTCTCGAGCCGTTCGGTCCGCCCGCCCGCCGCGCTTCTTCCTTTTCTGGACGCAGGGCGCTAGGCCGAGATGAAGCGGGGCGCTTTCTGTTCGCTTCTCGCGGCGCCTGTCCTTGTATCGATGCGTCTCTCGGGACAGCGTGACCTCATGGCGCCTACCCTCTATCTTCTCTCCTTCCATTCGAATATTCCCTGGCGTCATCTCCCGTCAGGCTGGACTGCCCCAGAATTAATGTCCTGATACCTCGCCCACAGATGCGTGTGCTCGCTGCCGTGCGCAAGCTGGGGCAATCGTCGCAAGTCCCAATTCAGCAACGGCCGAACGGCGGCGTGCCCTCTACCCCACAACAACACCCGAATGCGCTCGCGGGACCGTCGATGCAGCCGCCTCCCGGTGCACGACCGCAGCAGCAAGGACCACAAGGACCACCGGGGCAGCCACCACAACAGGGCCAGCAGCGTGGTATCAAGAGGAGTAGTACAAGTCCCGGACAGGACGTGAGTACCACTGCTAGTCTATGCGGCTCGTCGCGTGTTAACAACGCGGCACAGCAAGAAGCACTTCCACCCGGTCAACCCGGTGCCTCGCCTCCGAACAAGCGGCCCCGGCGCACGCCCACTATCGAGCAGCAGTCCAACCCGATGCAGCCGCCGCCCATGGCGTCCATGGCCAACGGCGGTCCTCCATTCGGACATCCTGGCCAACAGCCGCCGCCACCTCAGCAGATGATGCGACAAGGAATGACGGGCATGCCTGGGGGTCAGGGCATGCAGCCCGGACAGCACGGCCAGCCACACGGTCAGCCTGGGATGCAGGGACAGCCGCCACACGCGATGCAACAGCCGGGTCATGGCATCCCAGGCCAACCCCCACACGGCATGCCGCCTCAGCAGCATCTACCCGGTCAGCCTCCACACCCGATGGCGGGACAACCACCCCACATGCAAGGCCAGCCTCAACCTCAAACCCCACACGGCATGCCCGGCCAACCTCCACACGGTATGCCAGGTGGCCCGCCACAGCAGCACGGTATGCCTGGCCAGCCTCAGCCGCATCAGGGTATGCCCGGCCAGCACGCCGTCGTACCGAGCCAGTCGCGGCCGCTGGGACACAACATGTTCGGCGTCGGTGGGCCCCCGCAACACATGCCCATGATGGCCATGCACCCCGGCCAGCCCGGTCCGCACGGGATAATGCCGCAGCAGGGCCCGCTGCCCCCCGTGCGTATTGATTCCTTCTTTTATAGTGCTTTCCACCAAAGCTGAGACACATCGACATAGCAATACGTGCAGCAGCAAAACCAGTACCGCGCGCAGATGATCCAGCAGCACCAGCAGCAGCAGCCCCAGCGCACGATGATGGTGCCCGGGCAGCCGCCGCAGATGCAGCCTCCGCCGAGCATGACGAACGGCGGGCCGCGTCAAGGCCCGGGTCCTCAGCAGCCGCAGCCTCAAGGACCGCACAAGCC